TAACTACGTGGTGTTCTTTATCAAACACTAAACGCACTACAGATGAGAGTTTTTGCATTCTGCCACTATGGAAGGTTGGTCTTAAAGGCAACAAAGCAATGGTAATTGAACAAGGTTCAATGTAATGAAGCAAAACAAAAATCACCAGATTCACCACCTTAAGGTGTGGGAAATTAATTTCCAGCATGCAAAATTTTCTTAACGTGAAGTTAGTGCTTCGCACATAAGCATTTTCATATTCCATTTTTTGACAAATGTGGCCGTCGTGCACGACGAGAACTGATTCTATGATTTGCTCTTCCACAGAAAAGTGTCAATGCATTGTGGTGGGTTGATCTGTTCATATTTGACCCCAATTTGCCCATGTGCAGATGTATTGCACTGAGTTTCCTCACGTACAGTGAAAGCTCATTAATTTGCACCTAGTTAGTTTGAGCTGATGGTCATGGTCCAGCCATGATGTATATGCGTCTATGAGTTAACCAACTCGTTAGTTCATGCACGCATCGACTCCTCTATCGATAATTCGAACTGCGGGCCGCTGCGTGATGGTATTTTATGCTGCCACCGCAAACTTTCATGGCGCTATAATAGATGGTGCGAACGCTGAGCGCAGGCGCAATTCAATCCAAACTAATCCAGAGCCTGGATACATGGCCACGTGGCGTCGTTGCGCAACTGCGACAGACTGCGCCAACTGTGCGCGGTCTTTGCATCGCGTGGTGGTTTGTGCTGGACGCCTCTCTGTGCCCTTTGTGTGCCGCACATTCAGTCGCTGGGCCTTGTGTGCGCCAAAGCTACGAAGTCCTTCAGTGCCGTGGGTTTTGTGATGGTGTTGCCTTCGACTGCTGGACCTAGCATACCGCACTTACTATGACTTCTCGCGGAAAAGGACCGAGCACCAAAACGCTCAAGGAGAAGGTAGAAATACTTCGTAAAGTGGACGGTGGCAAAACAAGCAAGCTTGAAATCGCAAGGAAGCTTGGAATCCCAAAAAGCACTCTTTCAAGATATATAAAGAATTAGCGATTGAGGAGGCCTACGCAACTGATGCGTTCACTGGCTCAGCGAAGCACCCAAAATTGGAGGCCCAATGCTCACGTGGATAAAGGAAACGAGGAGCCAAAACATCCCACTGAGTGGCCCCATCGTTATGGCGAAGGCAGCAAACTTCGCGTTTCGCCTGAACATAGATGATTTTAAAGCTTCAGAGGACTGGCTTCATCGTTTCCGAGAGAGGCACGAGATTGTGTTCCGCACCTTGTCTGGTGAAGGCAAAGAAGTGAACAGCGAGACATGCGCAAAGTGGCAAAACGGTACTTTGCAAGAACTCCTTCAAGAGTAATCGCCGCGCGATATATTTAATGTCGATAAAACGGCATTATTTTATAAGCTGCTGCCAAGTAAAACGTTGACCTACAAAGGCGACACCTGTGCTGGCGGAAGAGAAGAAAGAGTGCATTACTGTTTTGGTCGCAGCAAACATGACCGGACTGAAGAACTACAGCTGCTGATCATAGGGAAGGCCCTGAAGCCTCGTTGCTTCAAGAACATCTGCACACCGCCGGCAGAGTATACAGCCAACAGCAAGGCAAGGATAATGTGGGAAATATTCAAACAGTGGCTGATAAAGCTCGATTGCAAATTTGAATTAGCTAACAAAAGCGTGCTCTAGGTAGTCGACAACTGCTCAACGCACGTGGTTGATGTGGACTTGAAGACGATCAAGCTCTCGTTTCTGCCGCAGAACACAACGGCAGCCTTGCATGCCTCCAAGATTGGAATGCGCACACCATATTTTAAGTTTCGGAGGCCGTGTTTGCTTTTTAAAAGACGCGGTGATGGATGCCGTTTTTTCGTCTTCGGTCAGCACTATCGTCATCACATCGCACGAGAAGGAGGCGAAAGAAGGAGTCTTTTATTGTCGTTGCAGCTTTTTTCAGTCGTCATTCTGCACGTGTCGCGTAGCGTCGCGACATTGTGCTTCGCAGCGGCTATCTGCGGCATCGAATTTTGTGTTCTCGGTGCCATGGCTCCGCCATCTGTGTCATCGCGGGAGCCAGGTGGTGTGAAGAAGCGTGGGTATACGACCCTGACGATGGAGAAGAAAGCTGCCATATTCAAGCTAATAGAGAGTGGACGTTCGCAGCTAGATGTCGCTAGATGACGGTCGACGACCGCCCGCAGCCGTCCGGCGGAGATCGCCAACGCGGTGACAATTTTCGAGCGTTTACGGCGACGATGTCACCTTGGCGCAAATACGGGCAAACCAAATTGCCTCCAAGCGTAGTTTGAGGCAAGGCAGCATCAAGGACTTTTTTAAACCTGCCTGATGCAATAAACTTCAGATTTTTTGGCGAAAACGAATTTTTCGGACTGTTCGATTTTTCGTACTTTTTTTCGGTCCCCGCCAGGTCCGAAAATCGGTCGGCGACTGTAATTGTACATTAGTCCGTTTGTAAAGGTGGTTTCAGTGCAATGTAGTAGTGCAAAGCCGTGAAAAATCCTACTCAAGAAATTTGCTTTGCCGCGAAGCCTCCCTTCAGATTTAAAGGGGCCCTGCAACACTTGCTGGGCGTGGTCAGAAAAAGCTGCCGATCGGTAGTCGAGGTGAACGAGAACACGCGAGGCAAGTATTATAGCGCAGCACGCGGCCAGAAATTCACAACGAATTTTCAAAGCTAAAAATTGCTCTCTTCCCTCAGCAAATGACACTACACGCTCAAAAATCACTTGTCACAGCCAAGAAAGAAAATACTGCTCTGGCCACAGTCATTGGTTGATTTGAGCATGGCACGCTCTTTTTTATCGGACCACCGCGTGAGGCCGCCGCTTGTCCACAAATATGTGCAGGATCACACTGAAAGGCCTCGTATTAGAGGAAAAAAAAGAGAGAGAAAAAATGCTCAAGGTCACTAGGCGCTCATGATGTTTTTTCTTTTTCCATGCCATCCTTGCCAACTTAGCTTCCAGCTTTTTTGACGGGTCGAAAATGGAGAATGCAATTGCAGCATGCGACAAATTTTTAGAACTCGGCTCGTACTGGACTGATTCTAGAAACTTTGCAGCGGTAAATTTGTGAGGCGACCAGCATGTTTACTGGCTCCATAGATACTTGAAGAAGTGTTGCAGGGCCCCTTTAAAGGAACATGTTACCCTCAAATCAATTATTCATTTTATTGAGCTTGTTATGATGGTTTATATGATTTAAGTATAATAAATGTTAAAACGTTATGTATCTTGCAGGTTATCACTCGGATCCTGCCGAAACTACTAATCAAGGTTGTTTCGACTTCCTTTCAAGAAGAAAAAAAAGGCATTTGCATAGAGCCCCTATTTCAATTCAAAAAAAGTATCATGCAGGTTAGTTAAGTTATGATAAATATTCCCTTTTTTTCATATGTCATACATACTATTCGAATTCGATTCGAAATTATTCGACCAAAATTACTATTCACTTCAACCCTGGAATTCACTATTCGCACAAGCCCAACTACTAGCAAAGATACGTGATGCCCCTTTAGAAAAGAGATGCAACAGTAGGACTTTCGTCAGCATAAACAGTGAGAACTGTTGCACTTTTGAGCAAATGATTTGTTAAAAATAAATAATTCGCTAGATCGCTAAGCCATTCGAAGCCACGATTCCAAAGTTTAGCAGGCCAAAGTGTCATACTTGCAGCTCTCGTAGACACTGGCATCACAGTTCTTTCTAGCGGCAATTCTCGTAGCAAACTCTATGTCCCACTGTACACACAGGATGGAGTGATATGGGCGGAGGGGGTGCACACTCTGACCCCTCATCTATGTGCCTTGCAACGAAAAACAGCGCGAGAAGACGGGAACGGAAAAGGGCACACACACGAGCGCCGACACGCAGCTGATTTATTCTCAGCAGGGCGTGAAATATATAGCAAACATACGAAAACAAAGAAGTTTTTGCGACAGCCATTAAGGATTACACTGCAGCGATCGAGGATGTGTTGAAAGCACGGCAGTACTCAGCTGCTCGTCCAAGATTTTAGTAGAAGCTGCCAACTCAGAAAACACCATGACACATTTGTAAACGTGGCGTCACTAGCGCTGATTGGGAAAAAAGAAAACACTGACGGGTAAGTTCAGATTAGCTAGCACAGCTGCAATAAGCAGATGACGAGTTGACATCGTTGTCAAACGTGTCTTCAGTTGCTTCTGTATGTCACACATTTCCCGCACTGGTGAAAATCAAATCAATTGCGAATCAGTGCTTAAGTGTGTTACCCCATCCATCCCGGTTTCCTAGTGCTGTTTTTCGTTTATGTACGCATCAAAACCAACAAGCCCAAACATTAACTGTGTGCCTCGTTCTAGACGAGCACAACCCTTGGCCATACCACCACCGACGTCAGTCGCACCTACCTTTCGAAAGAAGAGCGCCAGGGAGTCGCAACGTGGAGGCCTGTTATCTCCGGAAGCCTCAGGCGATGGCACTGCAGGATCGGCCTGCGCTGCAGTCCTGCCATGACAACTGCCCAGACTGCTCTTCTGAAGGCCTACGAAGTAAGAAAATTACTTAAAAAAGAAACTGCAGACAAACGAATGGCGCAAAAAGCCAGCAAAAATAAAAATTTCTGAGTTGTGGCAGGACCCCAAACATGCACACTTCCCAGAAATAGACACAGTAACAGCTGTAATAACATGTAGAAACTATACAGATATTCAAGGGCATGCAAACAGTGCGGCTCTTATATATGCTCTACTGTTCAAATTTATGTTCAAGTGCCTGCACATGGCGGTTGGCTAATAAAAAGACCCAACGGTCACCTCTGAATGTATCATCGACTAGCCACCAGTGCAGGTTCAATTACTTTACGTGTTGTTCGAATAGGGTGTCATGGTATTGCTAATTTAAAGGACACTCAGATAAGCACGCCTTCGATTGAGCTGTCAGAGAAGTTTGTTTTGTAAATGCGACACTGAAAGAAACTTCATGAAGATAGGCCTGTAGCAGGCCCAGGAATCTTGGAACAATTTTTACTTTTTTTTTGCCATAGTTTTGAGTTATCTTCCACTGCACACCTGGACATTCACAAGCATCATTAACGTTTTGAATGTTCCAATATTGTTTAATTTGTGCACTATAGGTTTGAACATGGTAATGAGTTTTTGATGGATCTGGAAATAGAACAGCACACAAAAAGATACAAAAACGGAGAATTGAGCACAACTTATACTCAATCCTGAACTAATTTATAAATAAATAAATAAATTACGTGCATCATTTAACGTATTTCTTGTAAGGAGCTTATTATAACTGTAGCGGAGGAGGCAAAGGTTCTGTGTTGAATTGTTTAATTATGACGTCGATCATGGAAGGCACAGTTTGTTAGAGTACACTGGATTTATTTTACAATATTTGCAGGCACGAAGGCATTCCCGAACATAACAAGGAGAACGTCTGAGCGGCCGTCCATGCGTCTTTTCTCGGCCGCTCTTTTTTTCACACTGCTGCTCCGCCGCCTGCTGTTCCCCTCCCAGAGTACCCCTCCCTCTTCCCCCTCCTCATAGGTGCCTCTCTCTTTCTCCGAGTGGGCCGACTGGAGCGGTGTACTTAAAAACAGGAAATGGCTTTCTCGTGGGGTCCCGTCCACGAAACGAGAAACATATGTGTCGCTCACAACAGGTTCAGTGAAGCCAGCACCACCATTATTATTGCAAGAGGCAGAAAATGTGGTCACTAGGTGTCTCAGCACTACTGCATGTCCCCTCGTGAGCAATGGTGAGATTCTGCGTTGCGTGTGGCAGCATCTATTGTGCAAAGCAGAAGCAAGGGACCATGTTTCAATTGTGACTGAGCACACTGTACTTAAATATGTTGAAACGAGCATAACTTTTAAATAAGAAAATTAGTGTTATCGTATGCCAACAAAAAATGTGCAGCGTCTCTCAAGTGTACTCTCACCATACAATACAGAGTGCACGTGTGGCGCAATTTTGAGAGCCGAATCACAGTTTGTTACGAGTATTTTACTTTGTCATTGTGTGAAGATGCCGGCATGTTTACCAAGGTCTGTGCCCTTTGTCAAGCGTGGGATGATTGGGCTACCAAGGATGGTGATCACCTGTGCACAGTCGACTTAACCACTGATTGTTTTGACAGGACTCGCCCGGGTACAAACTCTCTCAGAAAAATACCCAACTGCACATCAGGGTGAGTATCTATCACACTGCTAATGAAAGTATTTTGACCTATAAAATAGCACCACGTTCATCATCGTCATCATCAGCCTGACTATGCCCACTGTAAGACAAAAGCCTCTCCCATGTTCCGCCAATCAACTCGGTCCTGTACTTTTTTCTGCCACCCTATATCTGCAAACTTCCTAATCTCATCTGCCCACCTAACTTTTTGTCTTCCTCTCACACATTTGCCTTCTCTGGGAATCTAGTCTGTTACTCTTAATGACCAGTAGTTATCCTGCCTATGTGCTACGTGCCCAGTTTATACCCATTTTTTCTTCTTGATTTTGACTAAGATGTCCTTAATACCCATTTGTTCCCCGGCCCACTCTGCTCTCTCCTTGTCCCTTAAGATTACACCTATAATTTTCCCTTCCACTGCTTGCTGTGCCGTTCTCAATCTAAGTTGAACTCTCCTTGTAAGCCTTCTTTGTGCACTTATCAATGTTTTTACAAAAGTACCATGCTTGTTTTACGTGGAAAGTCTACTGATCACCACATCTCCCTGAAAAATGTAATCTCGAAGACTCTGCTGAACACTTACCTGTTCTGTTTGTGTCTAAGTGGCCCTGGTTACTTCCCGAGCCACCCAGTGATGGGTGCGCCATTGAAGATGCACTGTCATCATTTTTGAGGGATTCTTGGAATGTTTCGATTCGCCACTGAGGAAAGACCTACCGAGGAAATGTGACCTTAGTAATGTGACAAGCAGAGACTTCAGGAAAGAAGACATCTATTGATGTGAAACTAAATTTAGTGCTACACTTAAAATAATAAAATATTTGCTTTATGCTGTCACAAGAGCAATAAGATGGTCTTCTTATTATTTTTTATACACCAGGACATGTTTTTTTGTTTTTTGTTTTAAACCTACCAATAGCACAACTTTCGAGAATGACAAAACTAAACTATTTGTTCATTGTGAAACAAAATGGGATAATCAAGGCCACCTCAAATCTGATTGATATGACATAAAAAAAAGAAAGAGAGACATTTTCTTCAGAAGAGCTACACTTCTATATGCCAAAGGAAGTGTGATATCTAAAGCCTGTAAAAAATTACTAGATTATATTGCCGACCATAAGTAGACTCTGATTATAAAGTCGACCACTCAACTTGCAACCCCTTCTAGGCAAAAAAAAAATTTGACTCCGAACACAGGGGGGTCGCTAGGGGGCCACGGTGTGCGGACGGCGCGTCGCATCGGCTCCGCAGATTTTCTATGGTTTTCGGCGATTTCTTTCCAGCCATTCAGTTCAGAGTATTCCCAAGTGACTGCGAAGTCCTGCGGTCTCTCCCGATACCATTTGTGCAGGTGAGCCCGTGTTTCGGTCACTTTTCGAAGATTGCCCGTACCGCCACGCTGGCACGACAGTCAAGCCAGTAGACAAGGCACGGTAGGCCTGACAAGTCGTCGGAGCAAGCGGGTGCCCCATCCGCTGCGCCAGCGCCCGAAATGGAATTCGTGCAAGTCGAACGGGAGGAGATATCACCAACGGAGTTCGGAAAATAGCAGGAATGGTGCGAGATCAAACGAAACACCAAGAAGGCGGGTGGAGACGCCGAGGCGAAGAACCAGCAAGCAACGCCAGCGTCTAACGAGAAGGCGGCGTTTATACAGAAAGCGACGCAGTACGTGCGGTAGATCACCATGACGAGACGAATGCCCAACCTGCCGACGGATGACTACAAGATCATCGTGCGACCCCGGGATGGCGTCAACATATCCCACTACCAGAAGGACCGCGTCCACTGCTGCATACGCAACGCTGCAGGGGTGGGGCGCGAGGTAGCCGAGGAGGACAGCGTCTGTCTCAATGAGCGACAAAACGCTATTGTGGTAAGCACGCCGTCAGAAGATCGCGCTAGACGATATGGAGGCATTTGCAAGCTGCGAATTGGCGACCGCGAGTTCGAAGCGAGTGCCTACAGAGCGGCTCCGGAGAACACGTCCAAAGGCCTCATCAGGGGCATATCGCTAGACGAAAAGCCGGCGGACGTCGTGAGAAGTCTGGTTAACCCCCGCAACCCGAACGTCCTGCATGCCAAGCGCATGGGAAACACGACCAACGTGATAATCCTTTTCGACGGCTACTACGTGCCTCATTACGTGAACTACGGCGGGATGGTGATAAGGTGCACTCTTTACAAGAAACATATCGATATGTGCTACGAGTGTGGTCGTCTGGGACACAGGGCCGACGTGTGGCCCAACCCGAATGACAAGAAGTGCCGTGGGTGCGGATGCGGCAACCCGCCCGACGATCATCGGTGCGAGCCGGTGTGCCAACTGTGCGGAAAGGGTCACCTCACCGGAGACCGCAAGTGCAAAGCTAAGTACAAGACACCCTACCTAGTCAAGCGCCGACAGTGGGAACGCAGAATACGCGAGGAGGCTGAGGCCGCCTACAGCAGTAGCAGCACCGTCAACGACGGGGAGGAGGGCTACGGACGACGCCACGCACCGAGACGACGTAGCGGCAACAGTCAATCGACCTCGAGGGAGACCCCCGCGCGGAGCCGCACTCGCTCCCGTACTCGTTCTCGAGCCCGCTCTCGCAGCGTCTCCCGACCCCGTTCAGCGAAGCCTCGCAGCATGTTGACGGCCCGAGCCAACCACACAGCTGCAGCCAAAGGCGGAGGAGAGGTTGACCCCCATAAATTGAGGCGGGTGGACGTCGCCTCCGAACACGCGCCCAGCGCACCGCTAACGCGAACCGAGACTGCCATTGATAGAAACCCAGATGTAGACAGACGCGGCAGCTCTGCTTACAAACGCAACAGCGACCCAGAAAGTCTAATGCAGAAACGATTGGATCAACTCGAATCAATAATCCAAAAACTACAGCAGGAAAATGCAAGGTTAAGAAACGAAATTGCCACGTTGAAGGGGGAGGCCACGACAGTTCCCTTTCCTCCTCCTCCTCCAATTAAACCCGTCGCAGCCGACGCGGCTGCTAGTACAGCCGAGAGTGTGGAGGAAGTCATGAAGGCTCAAGACGCGCACCCCGCACCCACTAAACGTAAGGCACTTGACCCGGAACAATTCGACTTCAAATCGCAGAAACGTGAGGAGAAACTCCGCGAACGAGTCGATAGACTTGACGACAAGGTAGACGCGATGATGACCCAGCACGCGCAGCAAACTGCGCAACTTAACAACGCAATTGCTCAGCAAACCGCACAAACCGAACAGTTGAGCATTGCAGTATCTCAGCTCACAAAAATGGTCGCGACGCTGCAAACGCGCATAGTTAATATCGAAATGCGACTTACGGGCGCAGTGGGTCGCCCAGTACGAACGACTGGGAAACCGTACTTTAGGCCGTTACCCGACGAAGAAGCGCAGGATCAGCCGGACGGCAAATCATAACACGTACAGTCACCATGGCTCGACACGAAACCACACAAACACAACGCCCACAACAGCATAACACACGGAACACGTTCACTATCTGGCAGTGGAACTGCAGGGGGTACAGGAGGAAACGGGCGCTTCTCCAACAATTCTTACGTAGCTGGCAACGACCGGACGTAATACTATTGCAGAAAACCAATGACCCGGTCAAGCTGGCGGGGTACAAATCTATAGACGAAGCTGTGACCGCGGGAGCCCCACCGGCCGCTGCAACGCTAGTGCGACGCAACCTCACCGTGGCGCAACGCGAACTTATGAAGGTTAGCATACCGCATGTACTCATAGAGCTCATCCCGACGAAAGGGCGCGGCCCCGGCCTGTTTGTGCTGAACGTGTATAGCAGACCCAAAGCCAGACACCGCTTTAGCACGTTACTGCGAGAGGCGCGCGAGGCAGCTGCCGACGGGCCCTTGCTCATTGCGGGCGACTTCAACGCGCCCCACGCGGCGTGGGGGTACGGCTACGAAATGCCAAAAGATAAGCGCCTTTGGGACGATGCGCAGAATGAGGGCCTCGAGCTCATCACAGACCCTTCCGCGCCTACACGCAGGGGCAACAGCGTATGTGCAGACACCTCACCCGACCTCACATTTACCAAGAACGTTACTAGCGCGCGATGGCACAATACACAGGAGGACCTGGTTAGCGATCACTCAGTGATCGAGATCCAGATCGACGCTGAACCTCACCACCGCGTTCATCGGGAAGGTACCAAGGGCAAGACCACCGGCTGGTGGATTGGACGCGTTTCGCAAAGTCCGGAAAGAGCAGAATCGTGGCAGTGCGGCTATTGAGGATATAGATAGCTGGACTGCGACGCTCAAGGGGGATTTAGAAACGGCGACGCGGGAGGTTCCGCCAGAAGCACAGCTCGAAGTGGGTAGACAGCAAACTCCTACACATGTGGGAAGCCAAGCGCAGCCTGCAAGACAGGTGGAAGCGTCAACGCCACAATCGAACGCTGCGCAGACGCATAGCACGGCTAAGCAGGGACATGGAAAAGCACGCGTTACAGGTATGCAAAACGCAATGGGAAGAGATCTGCAATGGGATGGAGAACCAGCTGGGACGAGCCAAGACGTGGCATCTTCTCCGGCACCTCTTGGATCCGGAGGAGGCGAAAACATCGCACGCACATAAGCTTAACAAGTTGCTGCACCACTACAAAGGCACCCACGCGGACTTTCTAGACGACGTGCGAAGCCGTTACTTTCAGTCACGTAGCCCCCTCGCGCACTCGGCATACGCCTGGGAGGGTGAGGGTAACGCGGAGCTAGATGAGGACTTCAGCGTTGCAGACGTGAGGGCAGTGCTGCACAGGCTCAACACAAAGTCGGCACCAGGCCCGGACGGGATAACCAACAAAGCGCTACGTAACTTGGACGATGAGTCGATAGAACAACTGACGGCTTACATGAACGAGTGCTGAAATGCGGGCGCTATACCGAACTCGTGGAAAACGGCGCGCATAATTATGATCCCCGAACCGGGTAAACGAGTAGAGATTGACAACCTTCGACCGATATCCCTGACGTCCTGCGTTGGTAAGGTCATGGAAAATGTGGTTCTCGCTCGCCTTACCAACTACCTCGAGGACCGAAACATGCTCCCACACACGATGCTGGGGTACCGTCGTAACCTTTCCACGCAGGGCGTTACGCTTCAACTCAAGCACGATATCGTAGACAATCCCACACGATCCACTAAAACGATACTCGGGCTCGACCTCAAAAAGGCGTTCGACAACGTTAGCCATGCTACGATACTTGAAAGTATACGAGCGTTGGGACTGGGCGAGAGAACGTACCACTACGTACGGGATTTCCTTACGGGCTGCCGGGCCCGATTAGCGAACGGCGGACTAGAATCGCAAGACATATACATGGGTTGTACGGGCACGCCGCAGGGCTCCATAATCTCGCCCATGCTCTTTAACCTCGCGCTTGTCGGATTACCACGAAAACTCGCTGAGATAGAAGGCCTCCACCATAGCTTGTACGCCGGTGATATCACCCTCTGGGTTGCCGAGGGAAATGACGGCCACGTAGAGCAAACGCTGCAGGAAGCCGTCGACGTGGTGCAGGACTACCTTCGCGACACTGGCCTCGAATGTTCCGCCGCTAAATCGGAGCTCCTGCTCTATAGACCCTCGCGCAGGGGCCGTAAACCCAAGAACGCCGATTCCGCATTCGAGTGCGCATACAGAGAAATTCATGTACGCACATCAGACGGCGCTGTCATCCCACAAGTTAACACCATTAGGGTACTGGGCTTGCGCCTGTCCGCCAACGGCCACAACGGCGAAACCGTTCGCAGACTAGAGGGCGCGGTCAATGAAACAATCCGGTTGCTGAAACGAATAACAAATCGGCATAGCGGAATGAAGGAAAGCAATACCATTCACCTGGTACATGCTTTCGTTATGAACCATATAACGTACGTCGCCTCCTACCTCAAGTGGCAGGCGACTCAACGCACCAAACTAGATTGTCTCATCCGCAAGGCATACAAACGCTCAATCGAATTACCGGCCAATACCAGCACAGAAAACTTTCTCGAGCTGGGGTTGCACAATACTCTAGATGAGATAATGGAAGCACACTACATCGCCCAGTACGAACGTCTGGCGAAGACCAGAATTGGTCGACACATCCTCGAGACACTGGGTATCAACTACCATATGCAGCGCGGCGAAAAGGTCGGGATACCCAGACGTATTCGCAAGCGCATCGTCATTCTGCCGTTGCCTAAGAACATGCACCCGACACATCACATCGGTCGCCGCAACAGGCGCGCCCAAGACCTTGAAAAGAAATTCGGCAATAGCAAAGACACAGTTTACGTGGACGCGGCCCGTTACGACTGCCACCGCGGCTTCGCGGTAGCGATCACGGATCATGTAGGAACTTGCGTCACAAGTGCGACGATAGGCACGAAAGAGACGGAGGCGGCCGAAGAAGCTGCCATAGCCCTCGCGATAGCCACCACGGACGCCGAGGTGATAATAGGCGACTCGCAGGCGGCGATACGCAACTACGCCAGCGGCCGGATCTCCTGCGAAGCGGCCCGCATTCTCCAAATTCACGAACGCAACATCTGCCGCAAAAACGACAGTTTCCTCATATGGACCCCCGCCCACACGAACCCTCCGCTTGCGGGCAAAGCGACTGCCCACGCCGCGGCTCGAGGACTTACACGCCGAGCTGCGACGCCTGCCGACAGTCCCGATGTCTCGCAAACTTCGACAGCGATGCGGGAATGGACGTGGGGGGATCGCATGACCACTTTCAGAGACATCACGCAACACTACAGACTGAACAGATGCAAATATCCACCACCCCATGCCAAACTAAACAAGAAACAGCAGGTTGCCTGGAGGCAACTACAGACACACACGTACCCGAATCCGGTGATCCTTCACCTCTGCTACCCAGGCATTTATACGTCCGACGTGTGTAAGGCGTGCGGAGCCAGAGCGACGCTGCAGCACATGCTGTGGAAGTGTACCGGTAACGCGCAGCAGTCCCCTACGAACCCGGTAGACATGGCAGTCTCGAACCGCGAGGCGCGATGGGAGGCGGCTCTGCTCAGCCACGACCTTGCCGATCAACTGTGGGCCGTCCGGCAAGCCCAGGATGCCGCCCGGGACCAAGGACTCGAGGCCGTCACCTAGGCCGGGGTGCTTGTAGCCCCACCCCGCTCAATGACACCGGACATGTTCAATAAAGTTTTTACTCACTCACTCACTCCGAACACAGCCTCATGCTGCGGCTATAGCACACCAGTAAACACCAGTAACTCTTTCAGAAGAGGGAAAGATGCAAAGAAACATTTATTTGGCCGTGAGACATGGCTTCTGACTCGTCGTCGCTTTAAATAAGGATGCAGCAGTCACGGTCATTGCCTATTGTGTGAGCCACTGCTGCTGCTTGCTGTCGGAAGAGGTGCTGGTGGTACTGAGATACCGCATGTGGAAAACGCCATGCAGACTATGCCGGTTGGCAGTCCATACCAGGCATCATTAACCCATTACGCTGCTCGCTCAAAGAGCTCCGTATGAAATTGGTTAGCGGGATGCACACATCCTTTGCGATAGTACGTGCTTTTGCTTCAATATCATCGTAGCAAACACTCAGGCTTTTGCTTCTCTGGTCATGAACCCAATCTCAAACCGCCTCATCAATGGCAGGGTAATGACTTCGGTCCGCGGAAGAATCGGTGTGTCGCAACGCACGCGAAGATCTTGGTCTTTTGTTTTCTCCGTTCCCTTACGCACTTTTTCAACACAACGAACTTCCGCCCTGCTTCAACGTTGCTTCTCGACTCTGCATAGAGAATCGCCTGCCGCTTGAAAGCAGCACTGTACTGTTGCCGGTGTATTCGCAAATCACGCACACCACTGTTTGCAAGCAAGGCAAAATGCAGAAATGGCAAACAGGCGTGAGCACAAAAATACGTGAATACGCCTGTGCGTGCTTGCATGGGGTGCATGTGACTGGTCATGTGGTTTAGTTACCTGAAAGGGCTGCCAGCCCACACGGCACTGCCAGCTTTTTCGTGGAACACCCATGGTGTTTCGTGGGAAATCTGAATTTTCGAATTGCCTTGTCAGCAAGTGCTGTTAAGACACGCTATTTACTAAAGAGAGAAACGCATGTGACGTCTTTCACAAACGATAAATGTCCAGTTTTCTTGTGAGCGAGAGATGCATGTCGTGTTTTTGGCGACAGATAAATGTATTTCGCATTTTTAGCTAGCCATAAACACATGTCGCGTTTCTTCGCGAGCCAGGTGCATTGTCACACTTATATGCGGCGAGTACTGGTGTTGTTGCTGATCTTGCGTGACAGACGCGCTGATGTGGTGGCACTACCATTGATACGGAGACGCTGTCAACAACTCGTCAAGAAATAATGCAGTATCTCTGATTTTTCGTTGCTAGCACTTCCTCCTCTAGCCACCATAGCTATACCATAGTCTTGCGATCATCGTGGCAGAGCATAAAAATGTCCAGCTCTGAAAGCGGCACGCTCGCGTTGGGAGATAGCAGTTCCTGTGACTTCGTTACCTCTGCGACTGATATTATCGATGCGTCAAATAGCAGTGAATCCGAGGACGACAAACGTTTGTTGAACCCCTCAGAAAACTCGAATTTACAATTCAAAACTGACTTCACGATTCCGCATATAGGTCAACTCCAATTATAGTTCGACCCATGAACTTTAGACGGCCATTTTATGAAAAAGCACCTCGACTTATTATGGGCAATAATTGATAAGTGGCTCTCACCATGTCAGAAACACACATCGCTGATATACGTTAACTGTAATAGGGCCTTTTACAAGAAATAAGAGATGGACGCTTTTTTATTCGGCAAATCCTAGCCTTGACTGAGCTTAAACTTGATCTGGAAAAGCTTAGGAAAAATGTCAATTGTATTCAATTTTTTTTTTATACATTTATTGCATCCTACATCCCATTATCGATATTATGCTGTGACAGTTTGCAAGCTCTTACATTGCAATGAAAAGCTCAGACGTTCCCTCAGTCTACATGCAATTATCATGCAGAATAAGTTATCACAACTTCACAAGAATGCCGCATACGGCTAGAAGTTTTCCCGAGATATCCTGATTCATTGCATTCTGTAGCAGATATAGTGAAGTTGAAGTGTGTCATTTTACCGTGCAAACACCCTTTTTTATTTGTTTCTTGGTATTTGAAAGAATTCTTACACTGGGCTTTAAAACTTAACACACTATGTTTCAGAAAAAAAAACAACAAAGAACCTATTGTTCTTGTTTTCTTGGCTGTATTAACCACCTGCATTAATACCTGCATGCCACTGAAGGCTGTTCATAAAAAATAAATTAGCCAATCAAGTCAGAACTAAACTAACCTTACAACATCACGACGTCAAGAAGAGAAGTGTGTGAGAGACATACCTCCTTGCATTGGGGTATGTTCTGCTGAGCCCGTCTGATCACATCCCACAGGGGAGAGTCGTCCTTCCACGCGTGACACTCCAGAATCTGCTCCTCGATCTGCACAACACGTCTACTGTCAGCCCATCCAGGATTTGAAAGACGTCAAGAGGAAGCACTGAGCAAAGCTCAGCAACTGTCCTACCTTCGAGCCTCACATGACTTGAGCACATTCAAAGTTTCGCATTTATTTTACACGGGACGCTAGTGACATGCAGCCTCCATATTTTCTCTTGCACATAACCTGCCTGTGCATATACACCCACAACAACATAGTGATGAAAAAAACAGAAGCTCTAGCTTACCTGTACACAATTGAACATTATCGTGTAAATGGAATACTGAACTGCACTTACCATGTTACCATAATGTGCGTTTTAGCAGCATTTTAGCTCCACACACGTAAACCTTTATGTACTCACGTAACCAAACACGATCACGTTTGTACAAACCCCTAAATCATCATGATAACTGTACATAATGCATATTTAATTAGTATACGATTCAATCGCTGCTGTTGCAAAATCGTGATAGAGTTTTTTTTAAGGCGCACAGTTTTCAAGGATATGCAAAGGGTGTCTTAAATAATAGGCTAATGGGGAATCGTATCGGCATCTTGTAAGATTCATGTAACCACAATTATATTCGCATTCATTTGTTTTTGCCTGGTGTTCATGAGGAACAAATACTAAAAAGGCAACTAATTCTAAATTATGTCAGTGCAAAAAATTTCAAACACCACAGAGCAATGCACCAGGTTTCTGAAATAAGAATTTTTGTACTTGCCTGGTTTGTCTCAACCCCACCAGGTGTCACCACTTATCCGGCATTTCACTTTGTTTGCTACAATAACCTAGCTACTATAAATGTGAGTGCAATTACCGTATATACTCGTGTAAGGGCCGCCCTCGTGTAAGGGCCGCACCCCAACTTTGAAAGCGGATATTTCGAAAAAAAAAAAAACAAAAGTTCAAAATGTCCCGCCAGAAAAGTGTAGTTAGTTCATTTACAGCCAGATGGCGCTGCACGCTTTCCCGCTTTTATTCTACTTCCGCCGACGCGCCGACCACGCTGTTGACAGCGCGCCGCCATATTTGCCTTGTGCGGCCTCTTTGTTGGCATCGTTCCTAGCATCGTGTCGATACGTTGGCAGCGCGACTTCAGATCGGTGTCGTCGGTGTCACTTTGTTGGTTGTAGTGAACCCTGCAGAAGCCAGCGCACGTGACGGACGATGGGCCGGCATCTGAGATCATTCACTGCAGCATTTAAGCTGCAAGTGATTGACTATGCCGAGGAGCACGGGAAGCGGGAAGCTGGACGAAAGTACGACGTCGATGAGAAGCGCGTGCGTTACTGGATGAATCAGAAAGATGCCCTCGCCGCTACTAACAGGAGCCGAAAGGCGTTTTCGCGGGAAAAAGTGCAAGTACCCGCAACTCGAAAGCGAGCTCGTCAACTACGTCGTCGACACACGAAGGGACGGCTACGCCGTATCGACTGACATGATACGCGTCAAAGCCCTCAGCATCGCTCGCCACATGGAAATACCCCCGGCACAATTCAAGGCAAGTCGGGGCTGGGCTACGCGGTTTATGAACCGTAACCAGCTTTCTATTCGGCGCCGAACGACGATTTGCCAAAAACTGCCGCGCGAGTACGAAGACCACGTCATTAAGTTTCATCGCTTCGTGAATGCTCTCAGGAGGGAGCATGAATACGACCTGTCCCAAATTGGGAATGCGGACCAGACACCTGTGTGGTTCGATGCACCGGAAAGCACCACAGTGGATTTAAAAGGTGCGAAAAGTGTGTCTGTGCGCACGACTGGTGCAGAACGCCAAAGGTGCACTGTGATGTTGTGCATCACGGCAGACGGCAGGAGGCTTCCGCCGTACGTCGTATTTAAAAGGAAGACTCTCCCAAAAGAGAAGTTCCCTCAGGGAATCGTCGTACGTGCGCAAGAGAAGGGCTGGATGTCCGAGGAACTGGTCGTTGACTGGATTAAGACCGTCTGGGCAAACAGACCTGGAGGGCTGTACAACGGAAAGCCCTCCTTGTTTTGGACAGCTTTAGGGGCCACTTGACCGACCGCGTCAAGAACCGAGTTGCCGCAACTCGTACGGACTTGGCCGTCATTCCCGGTGGCCTGACGAGTGTGCTGCAGCCGCTCGACGTATGCGTCAACAGACCATTCAAAGTGGAATTTCGCCGATGTTACTCTGAATGGATGGCTGGAGGCGTCCACGAGAAGACCCCTACAGGACGGCTGAAGCGGGCGTCGCTCCAACAGGTGTGTGAATGGATTTTGAATGCGTGGCGTGCCATGTCAGTAGAAGTAGTTGCTAAAAGCTTCAAGGTAACGGGAATTTCGAACTCCATGAACGGCACCGAAGATGACCGTCTCTGGGAAGACGCGGACGCCGAGGCGAGCTCCTCCGAGAACGAGGACAGCGAAATGGAATCCGAATAAAAACATTTCTGGCATGTCATTTGTGACTCTTGCACTCTGCTACTGTTGCATAAACAGTACAGACCTTTGGCCTGTACTGCCTGTACTAAATCGGCCTGATTCGTGTAAGGGCCGCACCTAGCAAAATTTTCGAAAAAAAAGTGCGGCCCTTACACGAGTATATACGGTAGTGCTCACACTTTAACTTGCCCCAACTCTGTGGCTGGAGTCTCCGATAAAGCGAATCTCGCGAGTAGCCACAAACAACATGAATTTGCAAGATAAGGCCATAAATGTACAACACACCAGGCAAGTAGTTTGTGTCACGTGAAAAAACAGGTACTCATATGTGCAGAATCTGTCTGGTGTTCTGGCAGCCCGGTAACCCGAAAGCTTACGGACAAATTGAAAACCTCTAAAAAAATGAACAAAACTGCAAGTGTTGCTACAAAGCTACCTTCCTTGCATTACCAAAAAACAACACCATGTAGCAAACCTGCACACTAAAATTCATGAATTACTCGCGCCTAAACTTTTGCTACGAATTTGGAAGATATATTGCACAGGTCATACATGAAAAACTATACCACTCTTCAGATTCACTTCGAGAAACTCTCATTTGCAATTCACATATACAGTCAACACCCAATTTGTCAGAGACTTTATGGACAGCACAATCATACAAAATTCATAAGAGCATGCACGCACACTTCTCTTGCTACCCTTAAAAGCTCTAATCACCACAGCCATCTCCAATGTAGCTCAGAAAGCATGCAAGTGCACTTACTAAGGCACCTTAGGCATTGTACTATGACAAGAGACGTACAGTGTCTTGTGAGAATGATTTCTTACAATTCTATGTATGCTTCACTGCAGCATGCTGCATGTGCTTGACTGCACATCATCTGTGTGTTGTGGCCAAGATGACTTTTAGAAATTGCTACAAAATTAGGTGGATTAACGTGCAGGAGTGCCGGTGAAAGGCTGTTAGATGGTCAACACGGCGGTAGTGTCGTCTGCAATTAACATCTGTTTACATCCGTAATCACATCATGAAGTCCCAGACCGCAATGTATATGTGTCCGACATTTCAGATGTCCTTATAGTATACCAGTTCTGCGGAGCACGTGGCAGTGTCATGAAGGCATCGGAATTGACAGGTACATCCGAAAAGTGTGTCATTCACTGTACCACTCATACTAGTCAAGTCTACGAATCATCAGATATGCGCGAAAAATTACCTATCATAGCTCAGTTGAGCATCTTGACTTGCTACCTCCGCACTGCAATGCTGTCTAGCACACACCGAGTCAGTGACAGCTTTTGCAGACGAGATTTCAGTCAATGTGTCTGTGCACTGTGTTTATGCACAGCACGAAGCCTGCTGTCTTCTCGTACCCTTGCCCTAAGCACTAGGGCCCGTGACAATAGGTGCCTGCTAGACACTGCGTGTCTGGACACAAAAAGCCCAAAAAAGTAACGTGTTTTCCACTTGACAAGGCTCCTTGCCGCCTTTTCCTGTACCTTTTATGCATAGCCTGCATGCTTTACTGATGTCCCACTTCTCACCAATCATGTTTGTTTGTCTCCTCAGAACACTACATATCAAATATGTGTATTGTGTGCCGTTTTATCTTGTGTCACACCTCATCCCTGCTTAAGCCCTCGCTATTGGTTTACTTTGTTAGCCTCCAGCCTTCAGTGCTTGATTCCACACAATCACGTTTCAGTGCCCTAATAACTTATTCCTCACTATAACAAACTTGCATCTTGCACAAAAATAAGTTTGTTATATTTGAAAATTCGTTATAAAGGTTTATTCCTAACACTATATCTATTGCAAGACTGTTCTTCAATTACTTCGTTATCACCAATGTTCTGCTATAGCCGGGTTCATTATATCGAGGTTTGAGTTACTGAAGACATTGGCTCGTTGTTTGCAAAAATAACACGGTGGTTCAAATTTACGCAATTACTGTTTCTCACCTGATTGAGGTGCTTGATGACTTCCCTCCACAAGCCTTTCTCAGCCCGAATCAAAGGCTCGGTGATCTTGCAAAAATCATAAGGTTTCAGATTGAACACCTCCAAGATCCAAGGAAATTCCCTGCAAAGATGAGCAATATTATGCGCCATGCAAGCGATGTATGTAGCAATATAAATCAAAAAGAAAAAGTGCCCTGTATTAAGCAGCATTGATGCAAGGTCATGGGTCTAGATAGAAAAACTTATTGCACAGAACAATTTTTTTATTTCTGAAACTTTGACTGGTGAATCTTCTTCAGTTATATTTTTCAGGTCACCCGATTTTCCATGGAATGTGCATATGCCTCTTTGAAGGACCCATCTGAACGAGCAAAACTGTGCCCTCAAGGCACTTGTTGAAGAAATATTCACTACAACTCAAATTAATTCATTGCAAATGCACTTGAATTTAAACTTGACACACAGCCTGACATCCAAGAAACGAGGAAAGCAGCGCAACAATGAGCAAACGAGAATGGTGGTATTTCCGTGTCTAGTTTACCAAAAATTCCTCTTTCTTTTTCATTCTGAATGTGGTACTTGTACCAAATGCACATATTTCCACTATGCTGTGGTATTTAGGTCACAGCATAATAGTTCCGAGCAGAAAAAAATCCAATATTGATGTGCGAGTGCTTCCAAAGTTACTAGAAAATACTTTCCATGGGCATAATAATAACATCTAAGGTTTTAAGTTACAGAACCGCGATACGCTTATGAGACGCCGCAGTGAAGGGCTCCAGAAAATTTGACCATCTAGTGTTCTTTAACGTGCACTAACATTGCACACTTTCTATGACCAGATAAAAACTTCATTGCTGGGAGAAATAGGCGATAGACACCCACAATGATTATTTTTGATGTCTCGTTATAGATCATTGCTGCACTTCGTACCAGAGCAATGCCGAGCCTTCTCTGGCATTGCCAAGCCATTCGTCCTAAGCCGACTCCCCTAGTCTTGAAGCAAACGGGACAGCGAATGAACCTACGACATCCCCAATACAGTAAAAGCTCATTAATTTGACCTCGGTCAATTCAAATTACGGCCCCGTGTATTTCTGTGAGGGAAAGTCCCGATATGTCGTTCGAGTCGGCATCCACAACACTAAATTAGAACTGGAGGCCCCCTGGTTTTGAATGCTCCTCGCATAATTGGCTTACAGTGATCATAATGTGCGCAAAGGCAAACCAAATCTGAAACTAAGTTTACTAGACATGCAAAACAATAACAGAGCAGAATTTCTCGGCAGATGAGAACTCGGACGCTGCACTGGAGCTTTTGGGCAAGCTACAAACAATGCTCATGGGGTCGCGACAAAACCGCAAGCAAGTACAAATTACTGGTTACATTTAATTTTGATAGCATTGCCTCTGCCATGTAAATGAACTTGTATATGAGCATGAAAAGAATAATATATTTTGACATTAAGGCTTAGAGTTCACATTAATGCTTGTTTCTGGCATTTCACTAACACTCATTTCTGTTCACTGTGAGTAATCTGTGAACAACTTAATTTATGAAATAACCAGCCACAAACATGTAATATTTCCTTATTTACAATAATGACTCTAGAGGTGGCTTTTCTGGGTTCTGCTTGTGCTGTGTGGCACGATGTCCATTCATTCTAGTGCCTGCCCGCTAATTAAAACTCCACTCAATTTGAACAATATTATAGTCCCTCTTGAGTTTGAACTAATGAGCTTTTACTGTAGCACGTTGTGTTCAACGCAGCCCCACAATTTCTCGTAGTGGTGCTTACCATAAGTACTAAAGTCCCATTCACTTCTACTTTCGATATATGAAATGCACTGCATGGTACCCACGAAAGCTTGCTTCTCCTAAATAGCCTGAACTCGCTTCTTGCATTGTCATAAACAATGATGTCCACAAAACAACGCTATCTTGACAAAAGCAGTGAAGAATGCCAAGGAGTCTGATGGGCACAGAAATCTTCGAAAATATGACTAGTTCATGCAGCGTCGATTTTATGTACACTAAACAGGGACAAATTTGCTTAAACAAGCTTTACAGCAGCACAGTCGTGTAACGTGGTAAAGAACACTGATGGCAAAGAGAATAAATTTACACGCAGCGAAGCATGCTAGCTGCAGCATTTGTTATTAAAAAGGGGACCACCACACGTTATCATGTTAAAATTTAGCATTGAAAACAACAAGGATGAAAGTGTAAGCACTCACGTGACGTTCTCTCATTCCCCTTTGTCTAGCATTTTAATGTCGTCCTTTCAAACATGAATCAACACCACCACGATCAAATCTTTGTTTTCATTAGTTTTATTACGCTAAAGTCTTAAGCGATCATCAACCAGTGAATAAACCAGTACTCCTTTACAGTTTTGTGCAAAAAAGATGACTATGAAAAAGAGGGGGCAGTGTTACCGTTGTGAGTTGTAGCAGTACATCACAATCTCCAAGCAGCACGCAAACAGTGACTGCTGGAAAGCACTCTTGCAGAGATAAACCTTGAACGTAAAAAAATAAAAGACATATCACACAAGTTATATACACAAATGCAATGATTATATGTCGGCTTACATGAGTCATTATGAGCTAAAACTTGTTACTTTAATTAAATCATCTACTCCTAAAGGTTCTGATGTAAAAAAAAGCAAACTGTGCATTTTTTTTTTTTTTTCAACATACAGTTATGTGCCATGCATGCACCGCTCATTGTCATGACTGTGTTTTCATTGTGCACATAGTTTCGTTATCAAAGTACTATCATTGACAAATTAAATGGAATGAAGTTATAGTTGACTAGAGGAAATTACTTTGTTAGCCTTAGTACTTCGGGTAATGTTTACAAGATTTCATCTTCCAACAGTTTGAGGCCCTTATGACCACTGATGGAAACAACATGCCGCCTGTCAATGTTCATTATCATTTACTGTCAATTAACGGGTCAAATTTAAATTATTTGATTCCGAAGCTCTGAATACTTCATTTAAAGTGAGTGGGAGCATTAGAAATAGTTGTTGCACATTTTTATAGCACTGTAATTATTAACTACTAATCACCTAATTATTGTAGTAATGCTACATTTTTAAATATTGAATGAACATCAGAGTCCAGGTTTTAAAAAATATTGTTTCGACATTCTACACCATTCCCAGCACAGGCCTCACACAGCCAAACAACAGAAGTGCTACTTGAGGCCAAAACACACGGATGCACTTACAGAAAGGTCAGTGTCCGGCTTTTGGTGCTTCAATTCAATTACAATGCTTTCCAGAGCCTTGTAGAACAACGTCTCGCCCATCTGAAGCTGTCGGCGAGCAAGGTCAACGTCCGTGCAGCTGCCTTGCTGCTCGGGCAAGTTCTGGACGGAAAAGGAGCAAATGCTGTCAGGAATCCAATTTGCCTCTTTTTGACAGGCCTAGTACAGACAACTACAAAAAATTGTGCCAGACCTCCCTAATAGGAAACTTGCATATTTAAAGTGCCACCTACTCATGGCCTTACGCACCAGCAATGCCAGCAAATGGTAGCAAGCATGAAGTGAACATTATCCAGTGCGAGTCAAAAAAAGGCAAGAGTTAATGGACACTAACTAGCCAGTGTCAGTATTGTAGATTTAATGACCTCTTATACCTCCCCTGAACGTTTTTAAGGGCTTCCTAATCTAGTGTTAGTCTATATTTTTGCCTCATTGCCTATATTATTGTTCACTTTTTGTTCACAAGTTACACGTTTAAAATAGAAAGAACATGTTTTGCCCCATGAATTACCCAGCTTTGTTGTCTGTTGGCATTGCGTCATTGCAGTTAATAAAAATGATCACCAAGGCACCCCGTACAGATGGTTAATCAGGGACACTGAAATGCGCAAGCCAGGTGTCCGTAACAATGAATCATTTCCAATGGTTCACAAGTCTTTTTTAATTACTGGTAACGTCTGCCCGCAAATCCTAATTGATGTTTGCCACCCGTCTGTTTGCTTCTTCACGTTTAGTTGACCGCTTGCGAGTGGTGGGGACTGTCCAATTTCCAAAGAACATGTGCACTAGGAGGTTTTATGTGTACAAGATTGATTAAGTTCACTTTTCTCTAGCCATGTACGGCTTCATTATAATACCAAGCCTGCAATTTTCTCTTTTCTTTCTCGTGCATGCAAGGCACTGTGGAAGCTGTCGAAGTAGTCGTACTACTAATAGCTCACCCTTGAGTAACATGCACACTTCACCAACGATGTTCACAACGTACTGAACTAAACAGACAAAACATGATAAACTATAAAGGCTGAGTGCCAAAACACGCTCGAAGCTGTGGGATACCACGCCATGAAAAATCGTAAACATGACTTGACACCTATACACACTATTGGCTTATGCTTTGGCATGCACAATATGTCTTGTCCATTATTGTACACATAAACAGATTGAGGATAAGCAGTCCACAGAAAATGTATGACAAATATTGCACATTTTTCATGAAAACTCTTCTCTACAGACCACAGAGCTGCGAGTGTACAACTTTTATTATACTAATGAAGTAAAATTGACAATGCCAATCCTGCTCGCAATATACTCATGCAGAAAACTTCGCATGCGAGAGAATGTTGAAGCCCATCGATTTACCTGCACGTATGCAGCGCAGAATGTGCCACTCATTGATCTTACGGTCTCCAAGATGCTTGCTTCGAGAGTGTCGCTATACTTGCTGAATAAAGTTGAACAAAACGTAAGTGAACAGCACACTGAAGCTACACATGCACAAATACACATACACACTCTGTAAGCATGATGTAGAACTTAAGAACAAATCAATATGACTACATTGTACACACACTATACCTCAGAATAATAATGCTTCCTATGTAATAAATGTTAATTTGTAGACGAATTTGTATACTCAATTTCCAGCAGTATGTAATGTAGCCATTGCTGGGTTACATTGACCAGGAATGCTATACATTGCATCCTTTCTTGCTCAGTGATAGAAAACTCATTTTGAAACTTCCTGGACAGCCATAAATGGCAGGCATAAAAACAGTCAAAGCGTGTTTGTTATTGCCTACTGGTAAGTTACAACAGGCGAAGCCACATTTTTTTAAGAAACCTTGAACATTTTTCCCACAATATCTTTTACAACTTGACTGAGATGGTAGCATTGGTGCCGTGGACCACTAATGGACCGCATTTCCTGGTCATCTCAGATTTCCCGCACTTTCACTTTCAATTGCTTTTAAGCCAACTAACATTAACTCTTGTTTAATTTTTGCATAATATGCCTACATTGATCCTTATGCTGCTCTTGCTTACATGCTATGCACAAATTTTCATGAACTATAATTATGTACAACATAAACATACAGACATCCTTTTTCTCAATGACGAGCGCACAGGCTTATTCAGTCTTTCCCCCAATAACTTTTTGAATCAAAGTAAATTGCTATTATAAAAATCCATAAACAAAGTTTGTGTGCTTGGGTACACCTCTGTTTACGGATTTTTTTTTTATCATATAGCTTCTATCTTCCCTTTTCTGCTGTTTTCTTTTTCACTGCTATCATAATAATTCACGGAGTGTTCACTAATGCAAATAGGCAGCCACACAAAGATCGACGGACGGGAGTGCGCGTCTTGTCACTTTAAAACCAGTCCATGCCCTCTCTGCGATAACGAAAGCTGTTACGTCACAAGCAACCTACGTCACAGAACTGCGCACGCGCAATGCCGTACACCTTAATTAGCACGGCCCACAGCCAGTCGCTCCTTGTCACTGCTGCTATTAAATCTCCTCTCATGCTTATGCACAGCTTGCTCGTTACACCCACAGGCACTGACATGCAGCACGCGGAACCGAAAGATTTCGACGGGTGGATCCAGTGCGTGTCGCGTCCCTTTAAACCGGACCACGCCCTCTCCGCGTCCAAGCGAAAGCTGTCACGTCACAAGTCAGCGCTAACTGCGTCACGTTTGCGAACTGCACACGCACACAATCGCACACCTTAGCACGGCCCGCAGCTCGTTGCTCGGCGCATTTCGGTGGCCAGCCAACAGCGCTTGCAGTTTGCTCGCGCATTGGGTGGCCGTCGACATGGGACTTCGGTTGACGGCCTCACGGTTGTGCAAGTCGCTGCGGCCGGGCGTCGGCAGCTGAGACGCCTCCGTCAGCTGCTGGAACAGCACCATGCCTTGGCAGTGGGTTCGCTGATAGCTCTTGATTCAAACTGCGGCCCGCGTTGGAATCCAAACGCTACAAAACTCGTCGCAGCGGCGAACGGCTTTCAAAGCTTCCCACTCCAGCAGACAATGAACGTCGCAACTTGTCTAACCGCGAAAACTAACGATCCCGGCGAGCCTCCGAGACTCTAGCACAGACACACCTATACACTACCATTCCAGTACGTAAAAACCGCACCCGCAAAAAAAAAACAGTTTAAACTTTAAATGCTCCATATTTTATTACTGCATTTGTACTTTGAATATTAGTAGTTTGTTTATGTAAAAAATTGCATTCAATTAGATGATTAATGAATAAAACAACAAAACATTAGTTTATTTTGGCCTAAATCGTTTTGACTGTCCAACAACATTGTGCTTCTGTTTTCGCTTCAGCGGCGTGTGTTGCACGTGTAAAGAAAATTTTTGTGGTCTGTCCGCGTTTCCGATCCGTCGTTTACGGTAGCAAAATGGTATGTACTACAGCAGCTTTACAGTCTGAGCAATGCATAGCTGATGAACAGTTGATAAACATGGAACGAATGGCGTATGTCCGCGACGGAACAGTCGGTCGTGGAGATACGCAAATCAATCAGTTTGGAGTGTATTACGTGTCTAATGCTGCTTCGTTTGTGCGTAGGCCAAGGTGAAAGCGACGCAGAAGGCCGCCAAAATGAAGCGGATGATCAGCTTGCGGGACCAGAGGCTGTGAGTACCGACAATCACTGGCGCCGCGCTCTGCGGCTGTCATTCTGACACATCTCGTTTGCCAGCGGTCGGCTGTGTCCTGAAGGTGTAGGATGTCTCTGAATGCCGTTTCATGACCTTACGTTACTGTCGTGCGTGAATAATAACGCTATGTAGACGATCAGACAAATAAGTCGAGCCTCCGACTCTCTCCGAAAGCCTTCCAACTCCTCACCTGATTTTGTATTGCTTCCGTGATTGGTTCACCTTGGACCCGGCGTCGATGTCATGTGACGTCATAATAAATGCAAGTTTTGCAATACAAGACGTCATGATAACGTCGCAATAAACTTTCGCCCTAAAACAATGCACTGTTCCCTCTTATCTAAGGCTCTGAGGTGAGCTATCTGCTCCAATGCATACAGGCATCAACCGTGCACTTTAAATTATGCGCAGTGTGGTTTGTCAAAGCGGTTCGTTTGTTGCGCCCACCGTAAAATCTGTGCCACACTTTTCAAAACCATGGAGCGAGTCAGAAATGCCTGTCAGTCACATGTGTAGATGTGATTCTCGCTGTTGATTTACAGGCTTCAGTGCACTTTTACAGAAAAGAAAAGGATCGTCTCCCTCCCAAAAAGAAGAAAAAGGAGGACCCTCATGCCATCAAAGTTTCCGAGGCGTAAGCACTCAATCTTGCCTTTTGCATTTCCTCATATTTGTGTAGCAGTGCTCGAAGTAATTCACCTGCCCATTGCATGAGTTTTCAACTTGCATACTCCTTGTCTATGCAGCAAGACTTCGTGATAATACCACTGTGAGAACCCAACTTGAGCCCCATATATAATCATCCGAATGCTGTAACTGCCATATCTTGCACATATAGATCTTGCCAGACCTTGTACATACAAAGATCAACGTACGTATGTACCCACGTGAATACACAAACACAGAACGAAAAGTGCAAGCTGTCAACTGTTTATTTTTCATAAATTGAATTATATACAGTAAAACCCACTTTTAACCCTACTTAAGTGCCATGAAAAATTTCTTTGTTATAACCGACAATTGATATATACAGGTTGGGCAAAAAAAAGCAAAATAAGGCAGTGGCAGGCTTTCGTGAGAAAACTGTGATATCAGATGGGATACCCCCGCAGACACAAGTGATATGGATCACAAAGCTGCTGTTTTTTTTTTTTTTTTACATTCTTGAAAAGTTGGACGCGTTCATGGGATCGCCTCAAGCCCCATAGATCCAATGTATGGCAACATGTGAAGTTTAGGGAAGCTGAAACTCTTACATGTCTGAACTTGTTACTCAAATTGTATGTCCAAAACTCCGTTAACGGGGCCACCACCATTCCTATGCCGTGGTGGATTTTAAAAATTAGCTTTGCTGCAGTGCCGCACTGTGTAGTGTAGCAAACCGCAAGTACAAAGGGGTGCTGGGGGATGTTGGAGTCGTGTGCGGGGATTCAGCAACTTGAATTTCTGATTTTCTTCAAGGATTTCATGTTCTGTAACCCTTCAGCATAGACACCCAAATCTGAGCACACGGGCCTACAGCATTTTTCCCTCCATCAAAAATGAAGCAGCCTCACCTGGGATTCGATCCCGCGACCTGCGAGTCAGCAGCTGAGTACCATAGCCACTAGACCACCGCAGTGGGGCTAAGTTCACGACCTTAGCCTTGCAGCGGCTAAAACATGGATTGGTTTTGGATCGATGCACTCAAATATCACTGCGAATACTTAAAGACCTGCACGGCATTGGTCTAAACATTAAGCTTCAATGTATTCCATCACATGTGGGTATGGCGGGTAATGAGGTGGCTGACAGACTTGCCCAGAGTGCTCTGGAGCTTGCACCAACAAAGAAGGCTCCCAACGGAAATTAGCATATTTTACAAGAATCTGTCAATAATTATTTTCACTCGTTATGGCTGACCCCTCACCAGCCATATGTGACAATAGGGCTATCAAGGAAAGAGGCATGCTTGCTTCATCGCATCCGAACGGGATCAGCGCATACACCAGTATGGCTCCAAAAGATCAGACTCCGCGACGCCCGAAGTGCAAGGAAAATGGTGATATAGAACACTATTTTCTTAAGTGTCTTGAGCTTAAGAAGGAACGGCACGGTTTATTCGAGGCAATGCAACGTTTAAGCTCGCCATGTGACAGCGTGACTGATATTGTGTTTCTTCGTGGTCGCTCGATCTTCAAGAAACAGGTGTCGCGACTTCTTTTGAAATGTTTGAATGCTACAGACCTCGAATGTGAATGGTAATAAGTGACAATTATGTTTGGGGTATGGTGCAGCGAGATAGTGTACCGGCACAATACTGCACGTGGAATAGCACAGAGGCCGCCGGCTTATGCAGACTTCCATTGCGCTATGCGCAATTTTTTTAAGAGCCTGCTCGTGCTTAGTTAAAAAACAAACAAAAGGACATTAGATACAATTAGCTATGACGAAACCGTGCGGGGCAATAGCCTGCAAATTATGCAAGGCTAGATCCCCCGGCTACCTACCACATCCTAATCCCCACAGCCAGAATTCATTGCAATAACCAATAATGCGGCATACGTGCATTGCTGTAAATAGTTTATTTCACCCTAGATACTAAAGTTGGCGATGCTGCAGCTTCTGATTGTTTTGGGCTCGACTGTATATGTGGCCTAATTGTGGGCACAACAATAACCTTGCAGGCCTGCTGGTGCTATTGGTTGTCACTGATGAAACGGACTGATAACAGATTTTTATGGTACTTGTTTTCTTTAGTGTTGCAGCTCGCATTATCGATGAGAACATTTGGCCCTCAGAGACGATTAATAATAGTGGCATAGAATCGAGTGAAAGGAATCCTTTCTAAATTGCGCTGCATGTTGTTAGCACGCATCCCGTACTTTTTCGATAGTGCGGAACATTGTCTATGGCAGTACACATTTGGCAAAGTGGTAAGTTGTGCTAAGCCCATTTGAGGCCGCTGCTTTTGTGACTTGCAGAGCAGTCGCATGTTGTTTTTCACATTTAACCGGTTTTCTTTAACAGCCAAAAAAAATTGAGCATGCATTTAGTATGTTGTTGAAGATAGCGCCTATAGACGTCATTTAAACATGCCTGCGTCACTGACACTTTGATAACTAGTTGGGTACTTGGGAAGTTACAGATATGATTAAGAATTAACTAAATATCATTAACAAAAATTAGTGGTGGATGCAACAGTGTACTGGAAATTATATGCAATTGATTCCCGTTATGCTGTTTTTTTTCCCTGTGATGCATGATTGTTGGGACATCATTTATATCATGTAGGCATGGTGTGTATGCTATTTCAGCTTGACCATAATTTCTGTAACTAACATGAGGGCTTGACACATTGAGCTGGGCATCTCTTGTACACATATGGAAACTGACAGCTTTAATTAAAACAAGCAAAATGAAAGGACCAAGGTACCGAATGTCAAAGCACTGCTGGAAACAAATGAGCATGAATACTGCCTGAGTTCTCACTTATTTTTTTGATTACCTTTATCTCAGAACGGTACAAGAAAACAAAAAAGAGGCACATTGTACTGCGTGCATCTCTCTGCATTATTTACAGTGCAGTTTTCAAATTTAAGGATGAAATGTACGCAGTGCCTGACACGTGCGCATGTTTTCTTGTGTCCCTAGGCCGCACTACTCCTCGGCGCTGTTCTTCAAGTACAACACACAGCTGGGACCTCCGTTCAGGATCCTCATCGACACAAACTTCATCAACTTTGCCATCAAAAACAAGCTGGATGTCATCCAGTCAATGATGGACTGCCTGTATGCCAAATGTAAGTCGGCAACTAGCATGTGGTGCAGAATTGTGTGTATAATAGTTTTAAATGATCTTAAAGGTTATGTTATTGAAAATTTCAAGTTCTACAATGTAACTGGTTGTTAGTAATGCATGACCTTTAATTAAGTTGCTATCTTGGTTAACTTCTAGGAGCAGGTCATTACTTTTTTTTTTCATTCGAGTAACTTTACACTGTGATACTGTTAACTGGGATACATGGTAACACCAGTGTTTGTTACAGTTACTAAAATGCACGTGGTTTCTTCTAACAAGTGATGACATTTCCAAATGGTATGTTTCAATTGGGTAGACAATAAAAATAAATTTAAGTTAAGATTCATTAGTAAGCTACCTTTCACCAATGTAGAACAAGCCACTGTTATCATTAGCACAGAATTGATACGAGCACGGAATTGATACGACAGGAAAAAAAAGCAATAAGACAAAGATGGTGATGCATTTGCCCTGTCTAAGCACAATGCTGTGGATTTTGATAACATCTTCTTTGACCTACTAACCTCTTTTGGAGCATTGATAAAAAATTTACTGCTTTATATACGGAAGGAGTAAACAGTTAAATTCAACGAGTTTCCAAACCCACCACAGTGGTTGAGCAATTACGGTGCTCAACTGCAGACCTGAAGGTTGCAGGATCGAATCTCGACTGCTGCAGCTACGTTTTCATGGAGGAAAAATGCTGGACCTCCATGCTCTCAGGTTTAAGTCCATGTTAAGGAACACCTGATGGTCGAAATTTCCAGAGCACTCCGCTATATAGTGTCCCCCTTAATCATATTTCGGTTTCGGGACATAAAGCCTGAACACTCAAACCTCATTATAACAAAGTTGTATCTCACTTGAAAATGGGTTGGTTATATCTGAGAATTAGTTTAAAAGGTATATTTCTAACATGGCATCTATTGCAAGACTTTTCTTCTTTACTTCGTTATAACTGATATTTCGTTGTGTTTCTGATTC